TAATAAAATTTAGAATATGTTAAAATAACCTTAGTCATAACCAATTAGAAAATTACCTTCTATTAATTGATTGGATATATTTATACAAATTATTTTTTAAATAAATATATATAGACAATTAAATATTTCAAAATTTTAAGTTTTATCTTTTTAAATTTATTTTTAATATTAAATAAATATATATAATAAGGAGACATTTAAAAATTTTTATATTTAATTTTTAAATGTTAAAAATTATTTTTTAAATAAATACATATCGATAATTAAAATTTTCAAAATTTTAAGTTTTATCTTTTTTTTAATTTATTCCTTAATAAATATATATGATAATGAGAGATTTAAAATTTTTATATTTTATTTTTTAAATATTTCATTTTATTTTGATTATAATTTAAAATATTTTATTTAGGGAGAGATTAAAAAAAAAGAAAAAAGTATATTCTTTTTATTAATACTCCTTTTCTTTATGTTTATATTATTTGATTGGATATACTTTTTTAAAGATAAATTTTCAAATAGAATATACATAATTTTTTTTTTAGTAGATAGATAAAAAAGAAAAAATATATTTTTTCTGTATGGTTGTTGGAAAAATTGACGGTTTATTTCGAGATAATAAAACGTTTTTTTATGTAACTTAATACAATGGAGAAATAAAAAAACTTGAATAAACTCTTTAAGTAATCTTATTGATATATTTATATATCTATTTATATTGAAACTTTTTTGTTAGCGATTAACGAATGGTTTAAAATTTTAATTTTTTTAAAAAATATATAATATTTTATTGATATATTTATAGTGCTTAATAGAGCCATCAGAACAAGTCTAGATTTTATAGATCCATTTGCACGCTATATGTGTCTTACTAGAAAGAAGATCAACTAAATCCCATGCATGTCTTTCCGTTAATGCTTGAAGTTCCTCAGCCATAGCTTGTGGCAATTTTTTGGGGCTTGTTCATGTTACGGACACCACTGTATTAACATTAAAAGAAGGATTTTTTTTTTTTTTTTTTTTTTTTTTTTTTTTTTTTTTTTGTCATCTCTGCAAATATAGATCTTGATGTTTAAAACTCAAAGGGTAAGGTTATGCGTGGCTTAAAAATAATATATAGAGGAGAGTGGGAGAAATGGGTTATTTGCTTTGAATTTTTAAGTGTATAAGGCCCCTTGTGCTTCTATATTTCATTGTTATGGCAGAATCAATTTCGCAACTAGCATTAGTTGCCTATACCAAAATTTTTTTTTTTTTTTTTTTTTTTGTCATCTCTCAATATAATCTTGATGTTTAAAACATCAAAGGGTAAGGTTATGGTGGTAAAAATAATATAAGAGGAGAGTGGAATGGGTTATTGGCTTTGATTTTAAGTGTATACCCTTATGCTTACTATATTCATTTTATGGCAAATCATTTGCAACTAGCATTAGTTGCTATACCAAAAGAAGTTATCTCCATTCATGATTTTTCACTAAGTTGAGTTTCATGCGTAATGTAGTGCATAATGATCAACAAAAATACTAGAAACATTATTCATTTACTTGCTATTAATTAGCTTCAAAGTCGGAGAGGACTTAATCAAATTAGTTGTTTGCAAATGCCAGGAGATACTCAATGGAGTTCGTATTTAAGATATGTTTCTAGCTTGATTAATATATTTAGTGCAACATGTGAAATTCTATTGAATATCATTGATGATGAAGCTAGTACAACTCAGTATGGAGATGCAGATGCAGCTTATGAGGCATCAATTTCTTTTGAATTTGCTTTTATTTTACATTTTATGAGAAGAATTCTTGAGCTTTCAAATTTACTTTGCTAAACTTTACAATTTCAATCTCAAGACATTTTAAATAAAATGCATCTTGTTTCGTCTATTAAGTTACTAATTCAAATTGTGAGATGACTTAATTGCAAAGGTGAAATCATTTTGTGTATCAGTCAATGTCATGACCGACTCCAACCATCATAGAAATTATCCGCTTAGAATGAAGCCAATTTTATCCCCTACTAGATTGGCAAAACCCACACGGTTTTCTCCCATAGGTGAAATGTCAATTGGTACAAAAACTTTATCCTCAAACTTTGCTGAATAGGAGATGATGCAATTGAGGATGCAATTTGAGTATTTTGATCCTATGCGATAATCTTCTGATTTTGAAACATTATCAACTATTTTTTTGATTTGTGTCAATAGATGGTGAAAACAAGAAAGTTTGAGATTTATCTACTCGTATATAAATTATTGACTATTATTCTAACTCTTTCAGTTTCTACAGTTATTACAGAGCGATTGTTTTCAACTATGAATATAATTAAGAACAAAGCTTCGTAACAAGATTGAAAATAAATTCATTTCTAATTATTTGTTACAATTTATAAAGAAATAAATTACTGAAAAATTTTACTGTGGATTCAATTATAAATTATTTTCATGACTTAAAAGAGCGACATGCTCGTTTTTTTATATGCTACATATATGTATGATGGTTAAATTCCATTTTAAGTATATTTTAAACATGAATATTGATTATCAAGTGCAATTTGATTTTTTTTTTTTTAATTATACAATCATACGGCTATTTAAATTTTTGGCCCGGAACCAGAAAATTAATTAGAGGGGTATAAAAAAATTTTCAAAATTTACAGAGTATAAAAAAAAATTACTATTTTATAAGTAAAAAATAAAATTTTATAAGATAAATTTCAAAAAAAAAAAAATTAGACCGTTGACTCACCTCTAATTCCGCCATTGCCGACATGTTGGATTCTAGCTAAGTCGGCCCTGATCGTTTAATACAGACAAATTGATATGATAACAATATTATCAAACATAAGGAAATAAATAGTTACTTACCAATTAAGTTTTTATTATTTGGCATTTGGTCACATAAGTCCAAATTCTAGAGTAAATACAGCTAATTACCTATTAACTTTTGATTATTCCGAGCCATGCATTTCACATGCAACCTTTAACCTTCTTCCACATATAAAAACGACATCGAACAAACAATTATATATTCTATTCTAACAATGCAAGAGTACGACATTAATGTCTTTACTTATAGAAGATAATATAGAAAAAGGGATTGTACGAAGTGAATTATATAAAATTATAAATTTTCAACAAATTTTTAAAGATTTCAACTCTTTTTCAAAAAAAATTAGATTTTAGTGGAAATGTAGCTAACTCGTCAATGTCACAAATATCACAATCTGTAAGAGACTCTTTAATAATACTGAGTCAATGTTCTTCACCGGTATAATCAATTACTAGCAGCCAGACCAAATTGACTAATAAACTAAAAATAATTAAAAATCGATTTCATATTGGTTAAATAAAAAAATATATATGTATATATGTATGGCGAAAAAAGTAATTTAATTAGTTCATTTTGTATTAAAGTAAATTAAACCTATTATAAATTTAATTCTTTATGAATTTTATTAACATATGTTCCTTAGAGACTTGGATTCAAATTTCACATACGATATTTACAGGGCGGAGCTTTGAGCTCTGAAGGGCCCTAAACACTCCAAGACAAATTTAAAAAGGAAAATTTCTTATAAAAAATTACATTGCAGTCTTTAAAATATAGAAAAAGTTATATTTCGCCCCTAAAAAATTAAAAAATTTTATTTGGCTCCTTAAAATAATTATCTTAGCTTTGCCCTGAGTATGAAAAACCTGAATTTATACTGGTATTGTATGAGAGATGTTTTGGGGTGGACTTTTATTAAGATTTTCGTCAATATATACATGTAAATGTGATCGTATCTGTGTTTATATTATAGATTATTGAGATTTAAAATGCAAGGGAGAAAATTGACCAATAAGAAAAAGAAAGAAAGAGAGATCGAGAAGGTGTAGCGATGGAGTATTCAAAGAGAATCAAGAGGACCAAAACATTGAATATTCAAAGAGACCCCACCATGAAAGGACCAAAGAATTTTAATAAAGAAAATGCTCTTTAATGATTTCCCAATAAAAGAGCTCTTCAATGTTTAGCAAATTGTTACTTTAGCATGCATGCATGGACTCAACATATGTTACCACTTCTTCTTTTCTTCTTTTCTTCTTTTTCTTTCTTTCTTTTTAATTTAAAGTTTGTTGCTAACAAATAAAGACAAGGTTAAAAAAGTTACTTTAGAACATAACAAGATCATATTCACAACATATATATATATATATATATATATAAAAGACAAGGTTAAAAAAGTTACTTTATAGAACATAACAAGATATATATTCACAACAATATATATATATAGTATAATATTATATATTAAGCATGTAAATACTTCTGATTCATGATTAATTGTGTGTGGAGATGCAATTTCCTTTTATATATATATATATATATATAGCAATTAAATACTTCTGTTCATGATTATTGTGTGTGGAGATGCAATTTCCCTTTTTCTAACCTTCATTTCCTTGAAATTCATGATTTTCAGAACCTTTTGGCACTCTTTTTCAAGGTGTTATGGAGCGTTGAGGACATTTGAAAATGTATTGCCTCGTGTAGACGAGTCTAATCATATATTAAATTTATAAAGAATAATTTTTATTAAAATAAGTGTATTTTCGACTTTTCACCGGAGAAAAAGATAAAATGAGAATAATTTTTAAAAAAATATTTTATTTATATTGATTTATTATATGAATGGAATCAATTGGTATTCAAATCTTATTATCAGAAACCGCCTAATCTGATTTGCACTTAGTCACAATCCTATTTAAATTTAAACTTTGTTTTCACATGTGAAACTATATATGTAGGGATAAGTGTTAAAGGGACCACTATTAGAATTGGAATATTATTAGAAAAACCTAAATAATGAGGTCCATTCACCCATTATAGAAGGGACACATGGAAGGTATAAGATTAAAGTCAAATAATAGAGTTGCAAACCAGTTGACGAAAGACTTTTCATGTATACTGAAGTTCGATACAAATTTGGACATGGAAAGTGGAACGCATGTGTCTCCTCTAGCTAGAAGACAATTGAGGCTTGATTTTCTTGACCTCTCCATAAAACGATTGCCTCACCTATATACATAGCCCAGAACTTCCACACAAAAAGCACCCTGCCCTGCCTGCCTCCATATTCTCTACCTCTTTCTATTTGCATAGCTCCATCCTTTCCTTTTACCTTAAGAGATTGGTGATACAAATAGTGGGAAATAAAAGGGGTTAGGGAGTCTTGTCGCAGGAGCGGTGGCATCTGCACGCCTTTGTATAAACTAGGTGTTTGCAAGTGCCAGCGTCCTATGACAAGATTCCCTACAACTTCTATCCTCTCCTCTGTCAACATCTCTTTTCTTGATAGTTTCTCAACTTTCTCATTAATGCAGGTATTCTTAATCTTCTTTCTTTTACGTATTATCCTGGTTTTTTTGTTAGGACAATAGATATATGCAAATTTTTTGTTATTTTTGCTTTACTTGTTCAACTGGTTCTCCATCCCCTCCTTCTTTCCCTATATTAATTTATAATTTCTATCATTTTATCTCCATTTTTATACCTTTTGCTATCATTCATTGCTTTTTTTTTTTTTCTTGATTTATATTACAAAGAGAATATCGAAATGGCAAAGTTACTCCACTTATAACCTAAAAGTTATTATGATCTAGATGTCACAAGTTCAAGACCCGGAGGCACTCGACGATCCTTCTTCATGTGTGATACAAGCAAACTTTTTTTTTTTTTTTTTTTTTTTCCTTTTCTTCAATGTGTGATACAGGCAAACTTTTTTTTTTTTTTTTTTTTTTTTGCCATTAACTTGTTAGGTATAGACATAAAATAGCAATTAATGAATAGACTTGCACACACATAAAAATTATAAATTTCCAATTTTTTTTTTTTTTTTTTTTTTTTGCCATTAACTTGTTAGGTAGAATAAAATGCATTATGAATTAGACTTCACACACCATAAAAATTATAAATTTCCAATGTATGTAAATGTAATTTGATTAATTAGGCTAAATAGGTAGGTCCCTCAGTGGCTCTCCAATAGATTTAGGACAGTTTGAAGGCATATCAGTGGCTTACCTGATTAGAGATTCCACCTATCCTTTAGGGTAAGGGATATGTGCAAATTAGAAAATATCGATGAAAATAAGTTTATCTATACTTTTCGTTTTTGATCCATTGAAATAGGTTGATAGACCGTTAATAATAAATAAAAAAATTAAGTGATAATATTTGGCTCTTCATTTACTGACGAATATTTTATTAATAAATTCTTTGATCACAAAATCTTCAGAAATCGATCAGTTAAATTGCGTCATCACTGTCTATCGGTTGAGTTAGTCTTAATAATTATATTTGAATAGACTTATTTTTTAAATATTTTTGTATACCAAGGATCATTATGTAATTTACATTTTTTCCCATTATATCTGCAATTATAAAATCCTAATATTCTAAAGGTTTCCCATCAAGAATTTCACTCATACAGAGATAATTTTAAGGGGGGGCAAGCCCCTTTTTTTTAAAAAAAATTTTGCAAGTATAAAAATTACAAATATGTAAAACTTCTTTGAAGTATTCAAATTGGTCCCCTGAAAATACTAATAATATGTCTAATTAAATAATATATTTTATGCTATAAATTCCTTATTTTTTTACTAAATTATGATAAAGATGTAAACAACTACCTATTAATTTCTTGACTTTGTCAAGGTGGATGTCATTTTCCATACAACATGGAAAGGTCTATTTAATTAATCCAATTTGATCAATCCAAGTTTGTAGTTATGCCTCATTCATCATCATCCACATGATGTCAATATCTATGAGCTAATAAGACTATCTCATCATTTGTGTTTTTCTCATCATTTTTGTTTTTCTTTTTGGTAGATAGGAATTATTTTATTTATTTTTTAAATTAGATTCTGTAAATATACACCCTTTGTCTTCTTATCTAATACAATATATTTTATGTATATTTTATATTCCTCTGTAGCAAACAAAGGATGGCTTTTTTTATTTTTTTTAATTTTTTTCGTCCCTTAATCTTTATCCTACCTCTCATTCTGATATTGTGTCAAAATTTTGTCATGTTTCTTGCTTTTTCTAAAAGTGAATAATATTTAAAATTTTTTTTACCTTTATTTAATTTTTTTTTCTCAACAAATGTATTAGTCAGACTATTTTTACCATTACATAAATCTTAATGTAAACAAAATTAATACTCTATATCAATCTTTAATCTTCCACTTATGCATTAATTAATGCTTTGATTATTAGATAAATAATTTTTATATAAATAAATAATAATTTTTATTTCAATACAAAAGCAAAATTTTAAGTTTTCAATTTGCGTTTTCATTAAAACACATAATTCATTTGGTGGTTTTAATGCAACTATGAGATGTGACCATTAGTTAGCAAAAACTACACGCGAGAATGGTGAGTCCACCAAATGAACTAATGGTTTCAATAAAAAAAAATATTTATTCACTCAATATATTTTTTCACGAAAACCGACATATCATTTGGTGGTTTTGGTTTATAAATATTTTAAGTTAATAACAACATAAGTTTTTTTACACAGTTACAACATATTTCTAGATGTTGTTAATATTTCTAATATAATATTTTAGATGTTGTTTTCTTGATGCCGGGAATATTTATAGTATATTTTTAGTATATGATTTTAATATATTTCTAGAATATATTGTTATATTTTTTTAGATGCAGTGAATATTTTTAGTGTATGTTTCTAGTATATGGAAAAGAATATCAAGACATCAGAGAAGATGCAGTATGCCGAAACCTAAATTATAATAGAAGGCCTCCAAGATATTGTACATGAGGACATGTAGACATTAATATGATTAATCTTTCATGTACTAATTATTAAGACATTTTTAACATAATACAAGTGAAACTCGAAGCACTTTATTACTTTTAGTAATTTGTAATTGTGTAAAAAAACTTATATTATTATTACTTAACTTGAAATATTTATAAACTAAAATCACCAGATGCTATGTTTGTTTTGGTAAAAAAAATACTTTGAGAAAATAAATATTTTTTTATTGAAACCATTAGTTAATATGGTGGACTATTTACAAAACAATATTCTCATGTGTACTTTTTGCTTAATAGTGGCCACTTTCCATAGTTGCACTAAAACCACTAAATGAATTATGTGTTTTAGTGAAAAGACAACTTTGACAAATTAAAATTTTCATTTTGTGTTGAAACCACCAGTTGAATTGATGGTTTCAATACAAAATAAAAATTATTATTTATTTATATAATTACTTTTTTTTGACTGCTTGTCAGTATGATTTACTTTTCCTATTGCACTGAAATCATCAACTCAATTGGTAGTTTCAATACAACACACTCTCTCTCCATGACATGACAAATATTAGATTGATAAATAGTTTTTATTCGGCATTAGATTGGGAAATAATTTTTTAAATAAAATCCCAATTAAGGCAGAAGCAAGCCTAAAACTTAACCTTGTCGTTGACATCAATATAGTACAAATAGTAAGCAAAAATGGAGGAAAACAATAAAAAAATTTCGTCCTGCTGCAAAGAAAATAAGGAGAAAACGAAAACAAGGAATGTAGCTAGATTTTTGTTATTTCAGAAAAATCAGAGATAAATTTCAGCCTTTTAGCTTAGTTTCTTTGAAATCATTAAAGAACTCAAAAGGGTAATTTAATCTTTTCTTTTAAATTTAACAGGAAATAATGAAAATATGAACAGAACGAAGAAATAGTTAGACAGAATCAATACATTAGGAGAAAACAATGTATTTCAAGAAACAGAGAGATAAAATAGTTAATTTTTGATATAATATGGGACAAGTTTATGAATTTCTCAAAAAACAAAATAAAAATTATAGTGTAACAATATAAATTAAACTATATTAGAATATAAGTTAAATTAGGACAAAACTATGGAATGGAGAGTATTAATTTGGTTTCCTCCCTTCACTAGATATCACCTTCTTTCAGCTATTTTTAAATTCAAATTAAACACACATGTCGTTGTTTAAGGTTGTAATGTATATATATAGCTTATTTAATTAATAAATAAGTCATTGTACAACTCTTAACTAAAAATAAATATGAGGAGACAAGATTCTGTTGTCGTGGCAACTAGCTTGCCATACACATAGCACCATCAATTCCTCTGTGGAGAATAAAAAAAGTTATATATTTAATTAATTAGATATATAAATATAAATAAATAGTAAGTATTAAGTAGTTAAGCAGTGACAAGAACTATGAAAAATATTGTGCCTTCTATCCACACATATAATTGTTTAAGGTTGTTAGGCGATAATTAAAAAAGTGATTAGCAAATTATAACAAAAATATTCATTAATTTGATTAAATTATCTTTTAAAAATTTATAAAAAATTATTATATTTAATATAAATAAAGATGAAAATTTAAAATATATTATCAATTACTTATTAATATTCTCAAAATGACTTTTATGCATTTAAAAAAAAAAAACTTCTCCAAAACGACTTATATTGATGCGTATAACACCTAATAATTAGGCTCATAAGTTGCTTATGTAAAATATGCAACGACACCTATTATTATATCTTGATTCCACTAGATTAGTTTTATATTTTATACTCATTTCGTTCCATTTTATTTGTTTGTTATTTTTTATTGAACAACTTGACAAGGCAAATTCGCAAGTGCACGAAATCGCAACAAGTAATAAAGAATGAGTAGTATCGTTCCCACAAGAATTATATACTAAGTATCAAAATTATATTAACCTACTATTATTTGAATGACAATAAGGAGAATAAATTCTAAGAAATTAATTTAAAAGAAATAAAAGAGAATAAAAAATAATCAAGCAAGATAATTTGATGAAAAAGAAATCAAAGATTAAAAGTTAATAGGAATTTTGACTTCACTTAATTTTATCCAATTTAATTTATTAGTTTGATAATCAATTTTAATTGTTCAAGAAGGAGAAACAGAAGCAAGATAATTTATTAGAGATCGAAACGAAACAGCAATCAAAGATTAAAAAAGCTTAAATAGGAATTATTATGGCTTCCCAACCACATTATATAATTTAAGTTCCAATTTAATTAATTAAGTTGCGATTAATCAATTTTTATAAATTGTTACAAGAAGGAAAGAAACAACCTACAACCTAAAGTACAACTAAAGATACAAGAGCGTCTCACGTCCCGGTGTATTACTTAGCTATTGCTTACACTCGATTATTAATTACATTTCTTCCAATAGCCACAATCAAACATGAAATTGAAATACATTAACTAATTTAATATTTTGTTTAAATGGAATATATCATAAACTTAATGGTTTATTTAACTTATTAAAAACCACCAGAGAGATCAAACTAATGTTAGCTCCGCAATGCCAAGTTAATTAATTCTCAATGTAATTATCAATCCTTTTTTTCTTGCCAAAAAAACCTTTTCTCTGGAAAGTGATTTAACGAAATAATCAATCCAAGGAAAGAAAACTATGTCAGCCAAGTGATAAGTTCATATAAATTATAACCTACGAATAAGCGAGAAAAACAAATCTAATATCTAATAAATTAGAAGTAAGAATTAAGGCTAGATAAATCCTAATTGAGAACTTTAGTTCGACATAAGTAAAGTAAATTAAACCACAAATAACTTGTAATATTTCTGATCTCATAATCAACATGAATATTGAAGAATAACAGAAGAGAATTTATAAAATAAAAAAACTCAGTCTACAATTGGCTTGTAACCTTTCTTAAATCTTGATCTCTAACATTGATTACTTGAAGTCTTGTAAAAGAGAAAAACGGATGTACGAAAGAATCAGAATAATATGAGAATTTAGTTCGACATAGTAAATAAATTAAACCCAAATAAACTTGTAAATTTCTCATAATCAACATGAATATTGAAAATAAAACAAGAAGAGAATTTATAAATAAAAACTAGTCTACAATTGGCTTGTAACCTTTCTTAAATCTTGATCTCTAACTTGATTACTTGAAGTCTTGTAAAGAGAAACGATGTAGAGAATAGAATATGGAATAATGAATGTGATGTGTATCCATCCTTTTATTGTGTAGAGATATCTCTTTATATAGACTTCATTGGGTGACTTCAAGACCTATCTTCCAATCAGCTGACTTATTAAGGAAGAAATATTATTGTAGTAGGAGACTGATTTAGTATTGTATTTTTTTCTTAATTAAGAGTCTCAATTGACTAAATAAAATTAGAAACCAATTAAAGAAGGTCCCACAATTGTTTCCATGTAAATTTATGTACAAACATGTTTAGAATTGACTCCTAACACAAGGCTGGCAGAGAATTTCGGCCCAAGATACAAATTCAGCACTATTGGAACATGGTCGTGTCATGGGATGAAGAGGCCGTGTACTCCACTGCCTCAGTGTATTTCTACTCTTTTTCTTCCTTTTTCAGCTCCATTCTTCTTTGAAGCAAATATTAGCTAATTTCTTAATAAAATCCTATAAAAACCCTTCAAATCAAGTTAAATAAAATTCAAGGAAGAATTATTAAAAACATAAATCAATTTAAACAAAAATTAATTAAAATAATTAAAACCATAAATATCCTAATAAAAACTATATTAGTAACACTATAAAAATAAGATCTATCAGATATCCCAAAACGTTTGCAATGTTTCTAAATTTATTCATTTAAATAATTATTTTTTCCATAATAATCTTTATAATTGGTCATTAAATGAATGACTTTATTAATATCTTAATAAGTTAAAGGTGAAAAAGGGCAAAAATAATTTTTATTGACTAAATTCTTAATATGCATGTTTTGTCAAACTATGCAAACAAAATGGGACAGATGGAGTATATTTTTGTTTTATAAATAGGAATTAGAAATAGTTGGTCTTTCTTTAATGAGAAAAGAAGGGCAGTTGGAATTACTCATGGGATTAAATTAACTCTTATTGTAAAAGAATAAATAGGTAAATTATTAAAGTTTTGTGGATGTATTATTTAGTTAATATTTATTAAAGTTTCATTTGTTTAAATAAATGGAAGACAATTAAAATATTTTTAGAGAATTTGAATATTTTTGTCATGAAAATGTTTTCTTTTTATCAAATGCAAAATTAATTATCTCATTTTTAAAGAGAATACTTGCCACTTTAAACTTTTTGACAAATTCATTAATCCGATTGGGTTGACTCGAGTTCAATTTAGTTATGATCACCAATTTCTAGGTCTTTCTTTTACAACTCGGTTTGGTCCATTAATCATCCATGCAGGCTTGGAAGAATAATTTGCGACCTTGGCAAAGTGGAGCCTAGAATCCTAACACCAATGTACAGTTCGGCCCATCCTCAGCAAATCAAATCGACCACCCAATAGTGAGTAACATGTCCAGGCCAGTTTGAACTACAATTGAAATTGAAACTAGTTTGAAATTGTCTGCTCTAAAAATAAAATTAAAACATATACTTTACGGACAGGTTAAGTATAACGATCCATCATCTTAGCCCGAACCCGCGCTAGGACTTGAGTTGACCAAAGGTTGTAATAAACCTTAAATAGTACATAAGCTTTCATGTTCAAATAAACTTGCCTCATGCCCATTACAACATTAAAAGATAATATCTCAACAAAGGTTCATCAAGCCCATTTCATTTCAACAAAATAACTCATATCAACAATTCACTGGACCCATATTGCTATAATACATAGGGATATTACAGTAGATATCAGATTTTAAAACTTTAATTAAAAAAATGTCATTTTGACCTAAACAATTAAAATAATATCAAATTTATTAGTGATTTATTTATTTGTCCTTTTACTTAACATGGCTTTTATTTTCTGTTTGGATGTTTTTTAGCCTACCATTTTTAATGGCAAGCGATCACTTTATCTTTTCTTTTTATTTCTCATTCT